CTTATTGGTCACTGTTTTTCGTTGATAACTCGTTAACGGTGCCTCGGAGAACATTTTTCTAAAGGAAGAAGTTGCTTCGAATGATCCGAGGAACCTGCCGTTTCCGGATTGCGTGACATTTTTGGGACACCCTGTAGACTGTTGTAAATCGATGCGAAGACGAAAGAAGTGTGAAACGATGCATACGAAGGCGATTATTTGGTTCGAACGATGAGCGAGTGAGCTACTAGAGCAAGCCGCTATAGTGGCGCGTCGTCCAGAGAGATGACATCCGCGAAAGCCACTATAGTGGCGCGTCGTGCCTAAAAGGTTAACGTTGCTGCTGTTGCTGGTTGCGTTCGTACATTTCGAGTAATGTTAAAATAGGGATAGGCGGGGAACAATTTAATACTTAGGAAAATTACATCTAGATAAACAAACATTACGCAATCGTTGACGTCGGAACAATGGTAAAAAAATCTACGCTCCGTGTTCGCATGTTAGCTACCATAATGTTAGCTTCGTACGATCAGCTGCTATGTATTTAGTATTTGGTTAGGCGCGCGCGAGCACGTGAACGAGATCCGTGTAATTGCAAGCTTACGTAAACACGATCACAGCACAGATAACAGCGCTACTTTCGATATTAATATTCTTGTATTTGCAATCGTATATGGAAAAATACCTTGAAATTGTCGCGGCGCCCGCGGCCTGTATCCGTACACACCGTGTTCGCTATGATAAGCGCGAGCATGGACAGTCGCCATCGTCAGTCGATAAGTGGTGCATCCTGTGATCGAACAACTGTTTGCCCACCGAAATCGTGGACGTTTCCGTAAGTTCCGAAGGATAGGACAGGCGTGCATTCTTGTCGCAGAAACTCTGAATCGACTGAGCGTCTCTTATCGTTTTGCTATGGTTCACGGTCCGTATGCTGCTCCCGCCCCCTCCATTTAACCGGTCGAACCCCCCTTACACTCCCCCACCCCATCTCGACCGTAGATTGTCGTGGATTGTCGAACGCACAGAGTGTAAGTCCGCAGGCCACCGTAGACCGTACATTGTACGCTGCACAGTGCGGAGATCTTACTATTCGACGTTATCTGTTTATTCGAGATTGGCTTAACCAATGCAAAACATCGAGTCGTTCGTTCAAATAACGGATTTTACTGGACGAAAGCTTATCTCTACAAGGAGTATTTGTATTCGCGATTCTTTTACGAGGGTTCCGCGATTCAGGAACTTACATTGGGTTGTCCGGAAAGTTCGTGCCGATTTTCGGTAGGCAGCGTGAGAGACCTGACCGAATATATCACAATTATTGAAAACAAATGACATGCGTACATATTCTAACAGAGATAACTTCAACCATATTTGGAAAAAAGTTTGGTTACGATTCGTTAATTTTTATCACTTTTGTACGCCTTAGAACACGTTGGCAAATAAAGCGCATTACAGGAATTTAATGCTTTTCATTTTCCGAAAGGGCAGAAATGCCGCACAAGCGACAAATAAGATATGCTCGGTTTAAAGCTGGAGATTTCGATCTTGAAGATCAAGAACGACAATTTCTTTGCCGAAAAACCTGAGAGGTTCTGGAAGGACGGAATTCTCAAGCTGCACGAAAAAGATGGAGAAAGGTTGCGGAACAGAATGGTGCCTATAGAATTTAATAAATATATACCGATATTTAAATGAGCCGCGTTTTAATTTTCCTAAAAAATCGGCACGAACTTTCCGGACAACCCGATACATACCGGTACAGATCGCGCACAAATCGCGTAGCCATAATCGAAGATAAAGAAAAACGTGTCCGATCGAATAGTCACTCGCGGTTGAATACAGCGATAGCAGATTAGATAACGAAGTCATCGTTGACGAATTTCGGGCTCCGAGAAAAGCATTCGTCGAAGCGTGCGTCTCGCGTTCTTCGAATCGCGAACTACGATTTCTTCCCGAGAAGATCGGTCGAGGTTCGATCGGGTAAAAAAAAAGGAAGTGCTATACGCTACATGTCGTACGTAATAATGTTATATCTCGGGGTATGCCGTTCCCACGAGGTCGTTGCCCCTGTACTTAAACTTGTGCGTGACGATGTTGAACTTTGTCCCGCCCAGGGACACCGGACAATTGGCCTCTGGTCTCGCGTAAAAGCAGACCGTGTACAGCGACATTTCCAGCTCGGGCGAGGTGCCCACGAACATGGTGGTCACCGGTTTATCGTGGCCGTTGAACTTCGTCCTTATCTTCAAGATATGCCCTTTCTGAAAAGCGAAACGCATCGTGTATCAGCTGCTCGAGACTTCCCATCGATGGCCTCGAACGGCCTCGGGACGAGTCGACTCACATCGCCCAGGTCGACTTTCTTCAAGTATCCGTTGTAGTCGACCTTCCCGGTGGCCTCCTCCTTGCTATAGTAGATCCAGTTGTGCAAGCCGACCACCTCGGGCGCATTCTGGCCATTCTTCAGCTCGGCCATGAACACATGCTCGAATCCCGAGCTGCCGATCTTCCCCTGTCCACGGGAGAACAGATTGAACCATATCTTTCTCAGGGTGTCCTTGTAGTCGTAGTAGTCCTTGCGGATCTTCCCCTTGTCCGCGAGGAATCTCATCGCGGCGGACATCACGTTCGTGCTTAGCATAGTGTCCACCAGCAGGCTCTCCTCCTGCCTCTGCAACGGGCTTATGTGCTCGTTCACGTTCGTGTCCGGCTGGTAGTTGTCGTAGATCGTTATTATTTTCTGGATCGTGGGACCTTGGTAGGCTTCCGGGTTCACCGTGAACAACCTGGAACGAGATCCGCTTTTCTAGCTGGTTACGTTCGGTATGCTGGGTAAAAGAAAGGAAGAAGCCTTACGGCTGAGGGGCGTCGTCGGCGGTGCTGCTGCTGCTCGTTTGCTTCTGGATGTTCAGAGTTATGTATCTGTTCGCGTTGTTGGTGTCCTTGATGAACAGAGCCTCGGAGAGCTTCTCCAGGTCCTCGTCCGTAATGCCGTTACCCTTGCTGTAGGTAGGATTGCTCGAGTAGGTTGTAGGAGTATTGGTTTTGGCTCCAGTCGCTACGGCACCGCCCGCTACCACGGGCAGAGTCTGTCCTGTAGAGAATCATCGGAAGCTCGACAAGCTTGGACCAACGCGTGGTTCGATTTACTGTTCCGAGAATCTCCGTTCGACTCACCACCCGGTTGATTCGGATAAGTGGGCTGCCTCGGAGAAGGAGTCGGCGAGTTGGGCCTGCTGCCGCCACCGGCAACGTCCGCCCAAGTTTTTCCAGGACTTCCGGGTCTGGGTGGTGGCGGAGTGGTGCTGCCGGGTTTCAGAGCACCCACGTGCAACGTCGACACCTGATTGCCTCCAGCTCCCGGTTGATTGGGCGCTGGCTGCGTCGGTCCTGGCGACGCGGACGGTCTCGGGGATGGCGACACTTGAACGTCCGAATCCAGTTAGCGACGAGCACAGTTACGAATACGATAGAATTAAGGAAATATCTCGCTCACCTGCCGGAAAAGATGCTGGACTGCCAGGGCCGGCGGACGGTCTCGAACCTGGGGAATAAAATATAGAATTTCTCTTAGAATCTTCGTGTTGCGTGCCGGTTATTCGAAACACGGATATTCCGCGAAACCTGGCGATTGTGGCGAAGGTTGTTGGGGCTGAGGTCGTGGCGAAGGCTGTTGAGGCTGAGGTCGTGGCGCGGGTGTGACCGCGGGGCTTGGACCGGGCTTCGCACCTGCGGGCAGAGCTCCTGGAGACGCAGCACCTGCGAAAGAAGGTGTAATAGTTGTTCCAGGTTTTTCCCTATATAATATAATAATAATAATATATATATAATAATTTATAATATATAAAATATATATATATATAATAAAATATATAATAATAACAGATAACCATCTGTTGTTCGAACGGTATTGGCCGATTTACCTCCAGGACTGAGCGCTGGTCCTTGGCCTGGCGACTTCGGCGGTTGTCTTCCGGGTTCTCCGGCGCCGGTTAAGTCAGCGGCCCAATCCCTGTAACCTTGGCCCGTGTTGCCACCGGTTCCGGGCCTCGCGGGCTTGTTCCCAACAATGTCGAGACCGACTTCCGTTCCCGGGTTCGGTCTGCTCGGCCGAGCGTTGTTTCGGACGTTTTGCGCGTTCGAATTGACGCCGATCGCTAGGCCAGGGTCGCCGGCGCCAATCACAGCCGATCCCACGTTGTTCGGGCCAGTCGACGGTTTTCCAGCTGGGCTACCAGCAGGCTTGCCGGTTGAACTACCAGCTGGGTTACCAGCTGGACTACCAGCAGGCTTACCAGCCGGATTGGCGGTAGTTGGCGCTACGGTTGTGCTAGACGGTGTCTCTGTGGTCGTGGTGGTCGCGTCTTTGTCCTTCTTCTTCCAGAACTTCCATCCCGCCTCGACGTCGGCTAGGGGACATCGATATTGTCAAGAAGATCGGCGTTAACTCTTTGCACGATAGAGTGGTGACTCTGAGGCACCACCGAAATTGTTATATCACGATCCAAGATAATTTTTATATTGTCAATGTTTCGATTTAAGAAATCGTTAGAAGCGTAACTGTTGTACGAATCACGAGGTTCAATTTCACAAAATGCACTTTGTCCGATATAAATGGAAATATCATAAGTCAGAAAAATAATTTTAGATTTACAATTAAAATGGCTTCGGGTGCAAAGGGTTAATATCTGTAGACTGGAGCCTAAAGGATCGTCTACCGTCGCACAGTGAGACGGATGCCAGTCCGTGGGCCCTACGGAAATCCCGGGGTTTATGATACCGGCATTTACTATTGAGACCGAGAACGAAAGATCCTAAAGAACAGGAAGCATGCTTTCTCTTTAATACTATTGATACGCGTTGGGACGGTTTTCTCAAAAATAGTTTTCACTGTTGCTCGTGTCATAAACCTTTCGTTAGGGATCTGTACGGCCGTCGTCCACGGTGCTATGTACCGATGGTCGCTACGTAAGAACCTACAGGGTGTCCCAAAAATGTCTCGTAATCCGGAAATGGCGGGTTCCTCGGATTATTTGAAGCAGCTTCTCCCTTTACAAAAACTTTCTGCGAGGCACCGTTAACGAGTTATCAACGAAAAACGGTGACCAATGAGCGGAACCGGGCCTGTCTCTTATACACATCTAGATGTGTATAAGAGACAGGCCCGGTTCCGCTCATTGGCTGTCTCTTATACACATCTAGATGTGTATAAGAGACAGGCCCGGTTCCGCTCATTGGCTGTCTCTTATACACATCTAGATGTGTATAAGAGACAGGCCCGGTTCCGCTCATTGGCTGTCTCTTATACACATCTAGATGTGTATAAGAGACAGGCCCGGTTCCGCTCATTGGCTGTCTCTTATACACATCTAGATGTGTATAAGAGACAGGCCCGGTTCCGCTCATTGGCTGTCTCTTATACACATCTAGATGTGTATAAGAGACAGGCCCGGTTCCGCTCATTGGCTGTCTCTTATACACATCTAGATGTGTATAAGAGACAGGCCCGGTTCCGCTCATTGGCTGTCTCTTATACACATCTAGATGTGTATAAGAGACAGGCCCGGTTCCGCTCATTGGCTGTCTCTTATACACATCTAGATGTGTATAAGAGACAGGCCCGGTTCCGCTCATTGGCTGTCTCTTATACACATCTAGATGTGTATAAGAGACAGGCCCGGTTCCGCTCATTGGCTGTCTCTTATACACATCTAGATGTGTATAAGAGACAGGCCCGGTTCCGCTCATTGGCTGTCTCTTATACACATCTAGATGTGTATAAGAGACAGGCCCGGTTCCGCTCATTGGCTGTCTCTTATACACATCTAGATGTGTATAAGAGACAGGCCCGGTTCCGCTCATTGGCTGTCTCTTATACACATCTAGATGTGTATAAGAGACAGGCCCGGTTCCGCTCATTGGCTGTCTCTTATACACATCTAGATGTGTATAAGAGACAGGCCCGGTTCCGCTCATTGGCTGTCTCTTATACACATCTAGATGTGTATAAGAGACAGGCCCGGTTCCGCTCATTGGCTGTCTCTTATACACATCTAGATGTGTATAAGAGACAGGCCCGGTTCCGCTCATTGGCTGTCTCTTATACACATCTAGATGTGTATAAGAGACAGACATTTTTGTAAAGGAAAAAGTTGCTTCGAACGACCCGAGGAACCCGCTACTTTCGGATTGCGAGTCACATTTGTGGGACACCCTGTATATCTAAAGTTTCGAAAAAGGTTTGGAACTTGACCTTAGTTCGTGTTTTTGTGGATCCGTACCACTGTGCGTCGACTGCTTCGTAAGCGTTTAACGACTCTGCGACCGGGACGACAGCGAATCGACGAGTGGAACGGGAGATTTCACAATTTTCCACGCTTCTAGAAAATTCGAAGGAGACCGTTTTCTTTTCTTATCGAACGTCGTTAGTCCGAACGAACCTAATGCAGAGACGGAGAACAGACGATCGACGTCACGGCGTTCGCGATCTTAAATTCAAATTACGGAGATCACGGTTGAGATCGCTTCCCACGGGCACTTCGGCCATGGAAATTTACATGGGAAACAATCTCTTCCTCCTTCTTTCTGCGAATCTGGCAACTGGGACGAGCGATAAACTGCTCGACACTTGTACTCGTTCATCCGGTCGACGAAACAAAAAGTATTGCATCGCGTCGATTATATCGCCGAAGTATTTCTTGCTTATGTATCGGAAACTTGTGTAGCTACATATTCGGAGAATGTCACGCTTTCTCTCTCTCTCTCTCTCTCTTGCTCCTTTCAGCTCGCGATCGCATATGTATGTATGTGAACCGCGCAGTCGGAATGAACCCGCGATAACCTTGATAATGCAAGGAAAAAACGGAACGAAAACAAGATCGATAGACGAGTAGAAGAACGGTCGAATCCAAACATTTGGAGCAGATAACGATGTTCTCTGTCCAAACAGCTCGCACGTAACGTGTATATGTATATTCGTTGATATTTTACGCAATACCGCGCGACTTGCCGGATAAATTCACTCGTGATAAATTACTAGCGGAGTAAAAAACTGAACGATCGGACAACCGACGGGAAATCCTCCTTTCACTCCGACAATAACTCCGTTTTTCCTCCTACAAACGCCGACGGGCCGGTGAACGACAGGCGATTCGATCGATGAATTTTGAACGATTAGCGAGATCGTGCAACCGGTTGTCCCGCATTATCCTGCTCAAGGACGACCGATGTGTACATCGAACGACGACGTCGTCGAAATTCGAGTGACCGAAAACTACGGAGTTTACCGCAGGGAATGAAAAAAAGTATAGAAATTGAGAAAGAGAGAGAGTTTTCGCGATCGTCGGCCTTCTTGGATGCGAAATTGCGATTTCCACGAGGAGATTAACTGGTTGAACCGAGTAGCGTCGACTTACCAACGATGACGGAGAGCGCGAGCAGCGTGAGAAACACGGTCGCGCCTTTGATTTTCATGATCGACGATGCTCCTTTGGCTCGTACGGTGAAACGAGATCCAGGTATCGGTATCGAGTTGAGCTCGGCTCGTCTACGATAGAATGCGGATAGAGTGCAGAGGATATATAGAATAAAACGTGTCGCCGCGACGTTCGACGCACGACGCGGGCGTTTTCAGACGAACTGAAGCCTCGACCGACTCTCGATACGATCCGATTCTATTCCGTTGGCCCCCGCCGCGCCGGCCGCACTTTCCTCCTGCCTTCTGGTCTCCCATTGGCAAGTTTGCCGCGACCCTGGTCCGGCTCGACTAAGGTCTTTGCACGGCCGCGAGCATCGTGCCGATCTTCTCGGAAGGATGATGTCAGCCGATGCGCCGCGACGATCTTTCTATTCAACTCCGTCCGGGTTTGGTCACGTCCGCTCCCTCGTAACGCTCTGTTTAATTCGACGCTATTGTCGCTAGCCGGCTGCTTCTCGCTCGATTCCTCGGTTAATGTTCGGAGATCACCGGTCGACGAGAAATCACGATGGTGATCTCGATCGGGTCGAACGGGGGCTCGAAGGTAGAAGTTCGTTCGACTCGTTCGGACGAACGAAATTCTTGCGGAAATATAGAATTTCGTTACGTTTCGTCGCGAGATTTTTAAGCGAGTTCAACGAAAAGCTTGAGTCATTTTATTCACTCCACTGTATCCGTTGTCAAATCTTGTACAGTAATGTCTCCCTTACCGACGCTTAGATTGTATACGAAAATGGACAATTTGGGAAGAGGGGATACGATCGTTCGAGCCTTGCGGCTCGTTTTTGTAGTTACCAATTGCCAATAAATATCAGAACGAGCCAAAATGCTCGAACAATCGTATCTTCTCTACCTAAATTAGTCCATTTTTGTAGATAATCCGAGCGTCAGTAAGGGAGACATTGCTGTACTTCGAAATGTTCATTATTTTCCGCATTATAGGTGTCTAATTTGTATCGTTTAAGAGGGTCTGGTAGCCCGTAAATAAACATTAATAATTATAACAATGATAATGGTAACAGTAAGTTTCGCAACTTGAACAGCTGCGGGACAAATTACTCGTCGCGTACGCCTATCCTATCGCCAATTGGCAATTAGCGGAACGGTATCTTTATTTGAGAATTATCGACCAGTGACATTCTTTCGAATCTTATATATATGTACATACATATTTACACGTCAGCGTAGAGTTCAAGAATTCGTTGAAGAATTCGTTGAAGAATTCGTTTGGGAACGATCGCTGATTTTCAGCTTCCGATGAGAGGGAAATAGATTGATATCCATAGGAGGAACAGGATCATCAGCAGCAGCATCATCTTCGACCGGAAGGGATCCCAACCGACCAGGATATACTTCGGCATTTGAGGTTCGTCTCGCCGATGGAACTGAAACGAAGCATCGATGATCGACCGACTTCTTAGATTTCGATTACAACGCGATCAAATGAGCCGTTTCTTTTGAAAGTGGCATAAGTCATATTTTTTCTCTTTTTTTTCTTTTTTTTAATGAAAAGATACCGTTCGATTGTAATTAGTGTTACCATTAACTCGATTTGTTTGAAAAAAGTGACTTATGCCACTTTCAAAATAAACGGCTCAAATAATGAATTACTTCGCCGTCGTTGCCGGCGTCGTCGACTTCTTCGTTCCTCCGCAGGCTCTGCGTACTCAGATTCTTCCTCATCTCCGTGGATTTGTCGCGAGTAGTCTTCCGACTGCCTCGATCCGAATTTTTCTTGGGATCGAGAGATCGATCTCTCGATGGTCCGGGTTTCTCCAACGCGACCAGCCCGATCACCACGCTGGTATCGGCCTTGGCTAGTAATTTGTCCTTTGCATCCTTGCCGGCTTCTTGGTTGTCGCTTATCGTTGCGTCCTTTGACGCGGCATCGTCTCCTGTTTTTCGATGACAGCGCAAAAGGTAAAGCTGTCGATTACGTGGTCCCCATCGGTTTCGATGATTTTTAAATATGTTATTTATTCATCGAATTTATACGAGAAGTAACCCATTAATTATGAAATAAAAAAAAATACGGAGGTTTAGAACATATTGGTACAAGGTTAACCCTTTGCGGACGAGGATTTTTTGAAGTACCAAGAATATACAGGGTGTTCCAAAAATGTCTCGCAAATGGCGGGTTCCTCGGGTCATTCGAAGCAACTTCTTCCTTTACAAAAATTTTCTCCGAGGCTTCGTTTACGAGTTATCAACGAAAAACACTGACCAATAAGAATCGAGTACGGCTGACGCTAGGCGGCCCAACCAACTAGCGCGCGAAGCCCAGTTCTGCTCATTGGCTCGGCCGCCGCGCGCCGAACGATCTCGTCCCTGATTGGTCACTGTTTTTCGTTAATAACTCGTTAACGGTGCCTCGGAGAACATTTTTGTAAAGGAAAAAGTTGCTTCGAACGACCCGAGGAACCCGCCACTTTCGGATTGCGAGACATTTTTGGTACAGCCTGTATTCGTCAAAGAATCAAATTATGTATAAAAGACTTAAACGAAAGGAAAGACAATATATCCTTTGTTGCGCACATAATCAAATTATTTGCTACTAAATTATTCGCTACTTCTAGAATAAGACATATAAAACCGGATGTGGACAGTAGGCGACGTTCGTCGTCGTAATGTTAAATAACAAATAAGATAACCGGAATTCTTCAAATCAATATGTCGAATTTGATAACACGTATAAAAATCGTCGAGATCAGCGAGTATCCACAGCGTCAGCAAATTTTCATAAAAACCAAGACGGTCGAGCAACGATCGTTCTCTTCTCAAGAGGAGAAACGTCGTCCAGCATAGAACTCGGCGTCGATGCGCCCCGGTTGGAGACCAACCTAACCTATAACTCGAAACTTCTTACCTTTTCCGGGATCCCTTCGTTCAGGGTCAGGATCAGGACCGCGTACTTGAGAAAAAAAGCTCTGCAAGTACCGCGCAATCTTCTCTCTTTCCTGCTTCAGATTGCCGACTCGGTGTTTCCTTCGAAGCATCTACCGCGAAACCTGGCAACGCGTGATCTTCCACTTCGTTCAATGATCGACGTCCGAAATCCTTCGCGCTCTGTAAACGACACGGGAGTCGGATAAGCATGGAGAAAAGTTCCCGTCTCCCGCGCGGACGGAAACTCGTAGAAGATACAAATTCGCTTTACCTGTTCGGTCATACCGAGAGACCGCGCCGTCTCTCGCACCTTCCTCGATATCGCACTAGATGAATACGTCGGGATGGATCGGATGCCTGATTATGCAGCGTGAAATCCCGTTTCCCGTCGGACTGCCAGGCAACTCGCTCTCCCGTTCGCAGAAACGTAGTTTTCTATGAAACTCTCATAGGTGTCGAGGAAAACTCCTTTCGTTTCGCTGTCAGAGCGTCATATATTTGAAGTGCGCATCCGGCGGACTTCAAGGGCCTCCGCTATAACCTAGATGGTCGACCGTTGTTCGAAAAAGAAACGTTCGGACAATTTGTGCGGGCTCGATCAGCGTTTGCACGAAAATAGGCTACGCGAGGAGTGGGACGGTGACGTATGCATCATTATAGACTGGACTCAATCGTGTTTTCTCTATCGTAAATAGCGTGCACTTTCGCATCGATTTTTTCAATCATCCACCACACGCTTTCCAACAGAATTTAAGGCGTATTAGCTAATATCGCAACGTTATTATAGTCCGTAGAGATTTATCATATTAATTTAATGAATTGCAATCCGGAAATGGCGCGTTCCTCGGATCATTCGAAGCAACTTCTTCCTTTACAAAAATGTTCTCCGAGGCACCGTTAACGAGTTATCGACGAAAAACAGTGACCAATAAGAATCGAGTACGGCCGACGCGAGGCGGCCCAGCCAACCAGCGCGCGAAGCCCGGTTCCGCTCGTTGGCTCGGTCGCCTCGCGCCAGCCGAGCTCGCCTCTCATTGGTCACTGTTTTTCGTTGATAACTCGTTAACGGTGCCTCGGAGAACATTTTTGTAAAGGAAAAAGTTGCTTCGAATGATCCGAGGAACGCGCCATTTCCGGATTGCAATTCATTAAATTAATATGATAAATCTCTACGGACTATAATAACGTTGCGATATTAGCTAATACGCCTTAAATTCTGTTGGAAAGCGTGTGGTGGATGATTGAAAAAATCGATGCGAAAGTGCACGCTATTTACGATAGAGAAAACACGATTGAGTCCAGTCTATAATGATGCATACGTCACCGTCCCACTCCTCGCGTAGCCTATTTTCGTGCAAACGCTGATCGAGCCCGCACAAATTGTCCGAACGTTTCTTTTTCGAACAACGGTCGACCATCTAGGTTATAGCGGAGGCCCTTGAAGTCCGCCGGATGCGCACTTCAAATATATGACGCTCTGACAGCGAAACGAAAGGAGTTTTCCTCGACACCTATGAGAGTTTCATAGAAAACTACGTTTCTGCGAACGGGAGAGCGAGTTGCCTGGCAGTCCGACGGGAAACGGGATTTCACGCTGCATAATCAGGCATCCGATCCATCCCGACGTATTCATCTAGTGCGATATCGAGGAAGGTGCGAGAGACGGCGCGGTCTCTCGGTATGACCGAACAGGTAAAGCGAATTTGTATCTTCTACGAGTTTCCGTCCGCGCGGGAGACGGGAACTTTTCTCCATGCTTATCCGACTCCCGTGTCGTTTACAGAGCGCGAAGGATTTCGGACGTCGATCATTGAACGAAGTGGAAGATCACGCGTTGCCAGGTTTCGCGGTAGATGCTTCGAAGGAAACACCGAGTCGGCAATCTGAAGCAGGAAAGAGAGAAGATTGCGCGGTACTTGCAGAGCTTTTTTTCTCAAGTACGCGGTCCTGATCCTGACCCTGAACGAAGGGATCCCGGAAAAGGTAAGAAGTTTCGAGTTATAGGTTAGGTTGGTCTCCAACCGGGGCGCATCGACGCCGAGTTCTATGCTGGACGACGTTTCTCCTCTTGAGAAGAGAACGATCGTTGCTCGACCGTCTTGGTTTTTATGAAAATTTGCTGACGCTGTGGATACTCGCTGATCTCGACGATTTTTATACGTGTTATCAAATTCGACATATTGATTTGAAGAATTCCGGTTATCTTATTTGTTATTTAACATTACGACGACGAACGTCGCCTACTGTCCACATCCGGTTTTATATGTCTTATTCTAGAAGTAGCGAATAATTTAGTAGCAAATAATTTGATTATGTGCGCAACAAAGGATATATTGTCTTTCCTTTCGTTTAAGTCTTTTATACATAATTTGATTCTTTGACGAATACAGGCTGTACCAAAAATGTCTCGCAATCCGAAAGTGGCGGGTTCCTCGGGTCGTTCGAAGCAACTTTTTCCTTTACAAAAATGTTCTCCGAGGCACCGTTAACGAGTTATCGACGAAAAACAGTGACCAATAAGAATCGAGTACGGCCGACGCGAGGCGGCCCAGCCAACCAGCGCGCGAAGCCCGGTTCCGCTCGTTGGCTCGGTCGCCTCGCGCCAGCCGAGCTCGCCTCTCATTGGTCACTGTTTTTCGTTGATAACTCGTTAACGGTGCCTCGGAGAACATTTTTGTAAAGGAAAAAGTGGCTTCGAATGACCCGAGGAACCCGCCACTTTTGGATTGCGAGACATTTTTGGGACACCCAGTATATATCTTATTATATTTAACTTCTGTATTTTTCTTTTTTGTTGTAATTTGGTAACTACTGGGTAACTTCCCGGAAATATATTTCATAAATAAATAAATAAATAAATAATAATTCTAAACTACGATCGCAACGCGACGTTTGAGCCTCTGTCTGATCGTAGATCCTTGCGTAGCCTATTTTCCTGCGAGCACCGGGCTCGATTTCGGGTCTGAAGAATCATCTGAACGTCGCGTTCATTCGAACTGTTGCGATTTATTCGAACATAAACAGACAATGGATAAAAATTGTTTGACCGGTTACAAAATCGGCAATAGTATTCGACTGGAAATCTATTTGGGGATCGGGGCCGGGCCCGCAACGCCGGGAAACGCCAGCAAACATTTTATCTATGGCGTGACGCGTGTCTAAAACTATTTGTACAAAATCAGTGCCGCTCACGGTGAAGAACGTCGTCGCCGGTTTACATTCGTTTGTCCGAGCCATCGAAAGAGACGCTCGGAAAGTCGGTGTCTCGCGGTTTCACGGGGAAATTTCGTCATCGGCACGCGATCGCCGCGCGTCGGAGCATAATAATCGCGGGAACGCAACGGTCGGTGACGAAACGTTCCTAGCGTTGCGTAATTTTTTCCGCGATCGCCGCGACCGGTTGTCGAACAACTATTACTTTCGGATCCCGTCGTTCCGTCTCGAACGCAGCGAACCGCGCTTTCGGGGCCCGGCCGCGATCGAACGAAACCGGAAGGAAGAAGCATAACGCCGAAGCTGCCGCCTCTCGGTCTCGTCGAAGCTCGACACTCACGGCCACGATCTTTCGATAACGCATTGTTCCACACGTCACACACGTGTCGGCCATCAGTCACGATCCGCGCACGAAATCCACATGTATGTCGCACGACTTCCTAGCAAGACGTATGCACAAGATGTCTCTTTCAACGCCGCCTAACGGCGTTCCGTTGCAAAGTTAGGGCGTACAGCAATGGTATAATATATATGGTATTATACCATTGGTATTATATATAATATATATATATTCACTCTATAGAGTTTATATAGACCTATAGTCCATCCACGGGAGCCTAACCCCCGATTCGACGAGTCCCAGGCCGTCCTCCCGGACCTCTCGAAATCGGCGATCGGAAACACGATGGATCACAGACGCGAGATATCACTGACACGTGGATGCGATGGCTGCTGGCCTTCTCCGTCGTCGTACGTCCACGCTCGAGTAGTCGGTCCCCGATTCACAGGATTCCATACTGCGCTAGGAACGTGTAGACGACCACCCAGAGGACCAAAGCGACGATCACCGAGATCAGGAAAACGGTCTTCAGGAAGTGCCACGGGCTTTCCAATCTGGACTCCGAGCGGCCGGCCCAGCCCTTGCACCCTCCGTCCCTGCATGGGATACTTCCTGGCTGCGCAGGATGCGTCGACGACAATTTCGCCGTCGAGGTGGCGACATTGTTGGTCGGCGAAGCGGTCTTCACCTCGGCCAACTCGTTCTCTTCCGCGTCCCTCGGCTTCGTCTTGGTCAGCTCGAGCCTCGACAGATTCTCCATCTGCAAACCGTTCGAAGTATCGTCGATTGCAATTATTCACCCGTATCGGAGACGGGAGAGGACTTATCGTTCTCCGCTATTCGGACTCGGATAGTTCGGAGAAGTGGAAACACAGATAAGGACGTGTTTGTTGGCCTGAATTCGTCACGGTTATCCAGACACAACAACAGCCGCTGCGCCGTTCTTTCGGAGAGATCGTTTTCTCTCCGGTTAAGCGACGGCCCACGGAATTGGAACGACGAACAAATTGCCGATCGCTTGTCGAACCAACGATTTCTGCGGACGCGTCGTCGCCACGTACGAGGACGGAAAGAAATTAACGAGGCGTCGCTAGAGGACGAACATCGATAAAGCGTCGCGAAGAACGTTTGTTCATTTGCTAGTATAATTTTTCGGCGGAGCTCCGATAGAGTCGTCAGGTGTAACCCGAAGGCGAAAGCAGACGATAACGAAATACATGTGCGTGCATACAGATACATATATCTGTTTCGCGCGGTTTCTGGCCGGGGTAGACCGCAGCTTCCTCCTTTGCAACGCGATCTTATCTCCCCGATAAAAATAAATCGTTTCGCTGATGCGCGCGCTTTAAAGCGATTCGTTTAAAGAGCCATTCGCCCTCGGAGGTCTACGGATTTCCTTGGAAGCGAAATATTGAGTTGGCAACTAAATAATTTCCGATTTGTTCGATGAAATAAAAGATTTTTTTTTACTTGGAACGAAGTTTAATCTGTAATGTACTTTCCAATTTGTTCGACGACCTTTTGCCATCTCTCCGACAACTTGAAAATTCCACGCTCGTAGAAAGTCTGATCCTTTCCGGCCAAAAACTGAGTTAAGCGAGATTTTACAGCGTCGTCGTCGTTAAAAGTTTTACCACGAAGGGAGTTGTCCAGCACGCTAGTGTCATGCACACTAGAAAATTAAAACGGCCGTCACGGTTAAATTACTTATTATTTCGGGTCCGAAAAATTAGTAAATATTCTTCAGACGTTCTAAAGCAAAAGTGAACAGCGTTTTTCTTAAAAATATCACTGTTACGTAGTAAAAAAAAAATCCGGAAAGTTCTCGCTTCGCGATTTGTTCAATACTTCGAACGCGGCTCGAGTCCGTCCCGACCGTCTGTCAAAGCCTCGTGCTGCGGGCTCTCGAACTTCGCGCCGTCACCTCTCATTGGCCAGTGTTTTTCGTTAATAACTCGTAAACAAAGCCGCAGATCGCATTTTCGCAA